AACTAAATTCTAAAACTAAAAACTAAAACCGCAATATTTGTTAAGGGAACGACGGTGGAGCATGCTCTATTTCAGAAGAAACAGAAGTGCTTGCAATATTTACTAAGCTGGTCTACAGTCAAACTGGAACCATGAAGAATTATCACTTAATATTATTCCAATCTTCTTAGGAAGACAGAGGGGTCGTTGTTGTGAGCCCAACAGCAATGATACTGGCTAGACCCCCATCCACCAACAAATTCGCAAATTTCTTATCATTGTACACAGCCGAGGAATTGCATGTGAGCCCCCCTTGACCATCAAGCACTTGACCACTACCAAACGTTTCACAGAACCGCCATTGACTTACATGATTCAAATATCCGATGCTGTTCACATTAGAAAAATGCAAACTTCATTCTAAGGGTGTGGTCAACTGACAGAGAGGCCCTAGCAATGGGAATACAGTCAAAATGACATGCACAGTTCAAAGTCAAAGTACATGTAGTTTTCTCCTAGTTTTTTCCTGAAATCTTTTTCATGTCGGAGAATATAACCTGACTGAATAAAACGACTTAAAATATAATTTCTTAAAATGTTATACTTGATTCCAAAACCCTTTTTTCAAATTACCCATTGAGATAATTAACCCCAGGTGGAAAACCCACCGATTTACAGAGTACCTATTAACATTTTAATATTTATATCATCAAGAAGAGGTGTCAAAATAGCCAATTCTTATAAATACTCGGACAGTATGTGAAAAACTTTATAACCGAATGAAGTTCATAAAAGAGACTATCTATACTAATAGTAAGAGATGTAACTAGAGATATTGACTTGTACCATCTACATTAATACATTATTCATATCATTTCAGTTAAACTTGAGCATCTTGACATAGTAGAACATTTCTCATCATTATAGTCTATCTACCAATACACCAACTCTCATTCATAGCTTAGAGAACCTTTATCTTTATAACTCTTAAATCATAATACAATATCTACCAATACAACAACTCTCACTGATAGCTTAGAGAACCTTTATCTTTATAACTCTTAAATCATAATACAATATCTACCAATACACCAACTCTCACTCATAGCTTATAGAACCTTTATCTTTATAACTCTTAAATCATAATACAATATCTACCAATACAACAACTCTCACTGATAGCTTAGAGAACCTTTATCTTTATAACTCTTAAATCATAATACAATATCTACCAATACAACAACTCTCACTGATAGCTTAGAGAACCTTTATCTTTATAACTCTTAAATCATAATACAATATCTACCAATACACCAACTCTCATTCATAGCTTATAGAACCTTTATCTTTATAACTCTTAAATCATAATACAATATCTACCAATACAACAACTCTCATTCATAGCTTATAGAACCTTTATCTTTATAACTCTTAAATCATAATACAATATCTACCAATACAACAACTCTCACTGATAGCTTAGAGAACTTTTATCTTTATAACTCTTAAATCATAATACAATATCTACCAATACAACAACTCTCACTGATAGCTTAGAGAACCTTTATCTTTATAACTCTTAAATCATAATACAATATCTACCAATACAACAACTCTCACTCATAGCTTATAGAACCTTTATCTTTATAACTCTTAAATCATAATACAATATCTACCAATACAACAACTCTCACTGATAGCTTATAGAACCTTTATCTTTATAACTCTTAAATCATAATACAATATCTACCAATACACCAACTCTCACTCATAGCTTAGAGAACCTTTATCTCTATAACTCTTAAATCATAATACAATATCTACCAATACACCAACTCTCACTGGTAGCTTATAGAACCTTTATCTTTATAACTCTTAAATCATAATACAATATCTACCAATACAACAACTCTCATTCATAGCTTATAGAACCTTTATCTTTATAACTCTTAAATCATAATACAATATCTACCAATACAACAACTCTCACTGATAGCTTATAGAACCTTTATCTTTATAACTCTTAAATCATAATACAATATCTACCAATACACCAACTCTCATTGATAGCTTAGAGAACCTTTATCTCTATAACTCTTAAATCATAATACAATATCTACCAATACACCAACTCTCACTGATAGCTTAGAGAACCTTTATCTCTATAACTCTTAAATCATAATACAATATCTACCAATACACCAACTCTCACTCATAGCTTAGAGAACCTTTATCTTTATAACTCTTAAATCATAATACAATATCTACCAATACAACAACTCTCACTCATAGCTTATAGAACCTTTATCTTTATAACTCTTAAATCATTATACAATATCTACCAATACACCAACTCTCACTGATAGCTTAGAGAACCTTTATCTTTATAACTCTTAAATCATAATACAATATCTACCAATACAACAACTCTCACTCATAGCTTATAGAACCTTTATCTTTATAACTCTTAAATCATTATACAATATCTAGCAATACAACAACTCTCACTCATAGCTTAGAGAACCTTTATCTTTATAACTCTTAAATCATAATACAATATCTACCAATACAACAACTCTCACTCATAGCTTAGAGAACCTTTATCTTTATAACTCTTAAATCATAATACAATATCTACCAATACAACAACTCTCACTCATAGCTTATAGAACCTTTATCTTTATAACTCTTAAATCATAATACAATATCTACCAATACAACAACTAATAACTTGCAAAAGAAAATATAAATATATATATATATTCATAAAAAATACAACAAATAAAGTTGACGTTAACACGTTCTAGGAAATAAGAAAGAAGAATTTTTCAATGATAACGGAGAAAAAACACTTTTATACATGATAAGCCCATTAACTTTTTCTTTTTAATTAACCACAAACCACAGACAAAAAGTAAAAATTGTTTATAATCGTTTCTTGTTGTTTTTAATAATGATAAAGATCGCCGATGGCAGATTTTCTTTTATGAAAGTAACCAAAGAGAAAAACATTCAGTGTGTATTTTGTATCGCGACAACCAGAATTGGGCCATGTTTTGCTAGAATTACAGACACCAAAGATTCGGATGTGACGTCAGGATGGTGCCTCTAGAAGCTATAAGTGTTTCAGGTATACCTACATATGCTAGAAAACCTCTTGAATCTAAAAGGTCATCAAATGGCATCACCAGTTGCGTATGATACCGAGTTAGAATAGTGGTCATAAGTTGTAGTTGGAGTAGTAACTGAGTTTTGAGTTGCCTTCGAAACTATTGACCATTTTCATTATTCACAACCGTACGCAACTGATAATCTCTATGGTGTGAGGGCAACTTGAAATATAGAGATAATTTCTGATGTTTAAAGAAGCCGATTAAAGATGTAGGTCTCGACTCAAAACGTTATGAATAGAAATTCCAATCAAAATATTGAAATAGAGCGAAGAAAGGGTGTTGGTGTGAGAATACTTGTAGCAGTCTAACCAACGCCTAGATTCAGATTTTTTCAATTGTTTCTTGATCATTCAGATTCTCTTCTAACTAATCTATAGAACCTATTAATAAGCTAACTAGTTTGACATGACACACCCAAATCGTTCTACAGATCGACATCAAAGTGATGATAATAATATGGTATAATAATTATACTCTGTTGTCTTCATGCT